GTCGACTACGTGGGAGTCCAGTGACATAGCCATTATGTTAACTGCTGATCCCAAAATAATTATTTTTTAAAAAAAATTTTTAAAAGTTTTTTTTTGGTAGAGGGCCAGGTAGTGTGGCAGTTAAGGCACTGGATTCTCCACATGGTTGGCCATGGTTTGAGTCCTGGACCTGGTGGCTTGAAAATCATTCTGGGTTATGTGTGTGTACGTGCCCAAAATCCCAGGAGGAGAATGGAGAAGGGATTGAGGCCTCCCCTGGGGGGGGGTGATTTCTCACTTTCCCTCTCTCTGTCTCTCTGGAGAACTCAGGCGCCCTATGGCAAAAACCTTTGCTAGAGGACTCATGTGCTACCAGCAGAGAGAGAGAGAGAGGGGGGGGGAGAAAGAGAGAAAAAGAGAGACAATGAGGGGGAGAGAGAGAGGGGGAGAGAGAGAGAGGGAGGGAGAGAGAGAGAGAGGGAGAGAGAGAGGGGGAGGGAAAGTGAGAAAGCACCTTCCTCAGGGGACGGTCACACTGCAATCCCTCCTTCATTTCTTCTTTTGAGATTCTGGGCATGCACACACACACGAGCCTGGTATGTTTTCCAAGATACTGGATCTGAGACTGAAAACACACAGCTGGCCACGTGGAATCCAGCCAGCTAACCCTCATGCCATTGGCTAAGCCACCAGATTCAGGACTTGAACCCTGGTCGCCCATGTGGGAATGTCCAGCGCCTTAACCACCATGCCACCTGCTGGTCCCGAACAGTGATTTTTAAAAGGGGACTTAGATGCCTAAGAGATTCTGAGTCATGTGATGCAGTTACTGCTACAGGTGGATTTTGAAGTATGTTAGGATAAAGCTAAAGACTAGGGGCCAGCAGCTGGTGTGGTGGGTAAGGGTGCTGGACTCCCACATGGCCGACCAGGGTTCAAGTCCTGAATCTGGTGGCTTGCTTTCTCACTTCCTCTCTCTCTCACTCTTTCTCTGGTCAAATTAAAATAAATAAAATAACATAAAATAATTATTAAAAAACAAAAGCTAGAGACTATCTTACCATATCAGGAACAACATGAGGGTTGGGATGGAGTGAAGGCAGACATTAAAGTTACATTAACTGCTGCCCTTGTTTACCAGAGGAGGCTGTGGGAGGAGGGCTCTGGCTGGAACCACGCCCTGGCCGAGGCCCTTTTCTGGGCTGGTTCAGCCAGGCAGTCTCTCTTCCCCAGTTCTAGGCTCTGTCCCTTACATCCACGTGGAGGGCTACAATGCGGGATGGATCCAGATGGTGTGCAGGTCGGTGGGATGGTTCCCAGAGCCTCGGGCCGAATGGAGAGACCCTCAAGGCAGGCTGCTTCTATCCCTGTCGGAAGTCCACTCCCTGGATGAAGCTGGGCTCTTCCAAACAGCAGTATCCAGCAGAGTCAGGGACAGCACTCCAGGCAATGTGTCCTGCACTCTCCACAACCCAGCCCTTGGCCAAGAGAAGACCACAGCCATGGTCATAGCAGGTAAAAGTGGGGGTGGGAAACAGACTCGAAGTACCTGTTGGCTCCAGAGGAAACACTTATCTTAGTGGAAACGTCATAAAAAATGTTCAATTTTTTTAAAATTTAATTTTATTTATTCATTCATTTATTTTAATATGACGAGAGAGAGAGAGAGAGAGAGAGAGAGAGAGAGAGAGAGAGAAAGAGAGAAAGAGGGTCTGGGACTTAAACGTTCGTCAGCCATGTGGGAGAGTCCAGTGCCTTAACCACCATACCACCTGGTGGTCCCCTAAATTATTATTCTTTTTTAACATTTAAGAATAAAACAGAAATATTGTAGAAAACCTGAAACAGGGGCCAGCAGGTGGCATAATGGCTAAGGTACTGGACTCTCACATGGTCGATTGCAGTTCAAGTCCTGGACCCAGTGACTTAAAACTCATGACAGGCATGTGTGTGTGTGCATACCTGAAATCGTGAGAGAACAATGGAGGAGAAGGGACTATGGCATGGCCATCCTCCCCAAGGGGGGATTTCTCACTTTATGTTTCTCTGTCTCTCTCTGTCTCTTCAGTGAGCACATGTGCCTTATAGCAAAAACCCCCAAAAAGAAAAAAAAAAAAAAAACGAACGGAAAAAATGCAGAGTATTTTAAAGAACCCCCAAATGGTTTATGATCTCATAAATGAGAGAGAACCATTTCTAACCTTTCGGAGTATTTCTTTCAAAACTTTCTTGTATGTATACATGTTATGTAAGCGAGTCCTTGGGCCTGGTCGCCTCCCCCCACCCCCCGTTATGATGTCATGATTTTAAGGGTTGCATAGTATTTCATTAAGTGATTACAGAATAATAAAATGAACAAAAGCCCTATTTTTGAGCGTCTGGATTTTTCCTCGTATAATTAATGATGCAATGAACATCTTTGTACATACTTTGGGAATTGATTCTAATTATTTCCTCAGGATACGTTTCTGAAAGCAGGGGATACGGACCTCTGCTAATCTTTCTTTTTCCTTGCCTGTGCTCCTCTCTCCTTCTCTTACTACTGCCACCATTCCTCGCTAAGTGCTAAGTGCTTTGTTTATTTTTTGTTTTTTTTTTTAGGTTTTTGCCATAGAGAGACAGTGAGAAGGAAAGTGAGAAATCACCCACTAGGGAAGATGGCTACGTTGCAATCCCTTCTCCTTCATCCTCCTCCTGGGATTTTGGGTTCACATACACATGCGCCTGGTGTGATTTAAACCACGGGCATGTGGGAGTCCAGTGCCTTAACCAACCACACTGCCTGCTGGCTCCAGTGCTTTGTTTTTTAAAATCTCATGCAAGTCCTGGGAGAGAGGAAATCTTATCATCCTCTTTTTTTTTTATTAGAGGTTTTTGCTATAGGGCACGTGTGCTTGCCAGAAAGACAGAGACAGAGAGACAGAAAGCAAGAAATAACGCCCCCCAGGGGATGGCCATGTCACAATCCCTTCTCCTCCATTCTCCTCTTGGGATCTTGGGCATGCACACACACATGCCCAGTGTGAGTTTAAGCCACGGGGACCAGGACTCGAACCATGGTTGACTACCTGGGAGTGCAGTGACATAGCCATTACGCCAACTGCTGGTCCCGGTCCTTATTTTACAGAAGTGGCAAACACAGTGGTTGAGAAAGGACACACACTTAACACTCGCCACAGTCTTCTTTTGCTCTTTTTTTCCTGTTTTGTTTTGTTTTGTTTTGTTTTGCCAGAGGGTGCATGTGCTCACCAGAGAGAGACAGAGACAGAGACTGAGAGGAAGTGAGAAATCACCCCCAGGGGGATGGCCATGCTGCAATCCCTTCCCTATTCTCCTCTTGGGATTTTGGGCGTGCACTCAAATGAGCCCAGTGTGATTTTCAAGCTGCTGGGTCTGGGACTCAAATTGTGGAGTAGGCCAAGTGGAATCCACTACCTCAACCACCATGCCACCTGGTGGCCACTTTTTTTCTTTTTAAAAACTTATTTACTTGCCTTTTCTATGAATGAGGGAGAGAACCCCCAACAGGATCTTGCTGCTACAATCCACCCCTACCTTCAGCCAGGCCTTGATCATGGGCACCCACGTGCCCAATGTACTCCGGGAAGTCTCTGGACCTGAACTTGGAACCTTCCTATGTGCGTCAGCCTGACGGGGTGTCATATTTTATGTTACATCACTGTCTGACTTTCTTCTGCTCTTCTTTCCTGTCTTTGTTTCTTTTTAATTTTCTTCTTAGAATCATTTTATTTAGCTTTATTTATTTTATTTACTTATTTTAATTTGACGAGAGAGGAACAGGGTGAGAGACAGAGATGAAAAGTGAGAAAGTAAGCCGCCATGTCCGGGTCTCAAACTGTGGTCAACCATGCAGGGAGTCTATTGCCCTTAGCCACCATGCCACCTGCCAGCCCTGACTCTATTTCTTCCTTCTCTCCCACCCAGGCTTCAGCCTGCCACGGTGGCACTGTAGGCATTGTTTGGCCCCTGCTGACAGTGCTCAGAGCGAAGTGGCTGCTGACGGCTGTTCCAGAGCAGAAGGAGGGCACGAAGGGGGAGGCAGGCAGGTGTTCGTGGGAGGACTGCAGGCGGTTACAAAGGACAGCACCTCCATCTCGGTGTGGTCCCCGGATTATTTTTTCATTGAGTTATAGGGCATGATGAGATTGTAGCTGAGGAACTGAGTTCGAATGGTTAATTTCAGGCAGTACCATCTAAAACACTCCTGAGAGGTGACATGTCACTTATTTTTTTATTTTTTGGAGAGGTTTTTGCTATAGGGCGCGTGTGCTCGCCAGACAGACAGAGAGACAGAAAGTGAGAAATCACCCCCAGGGGGGATGGCCACGCCGCAACCCCTTCTCCTCCATTCTCCTCTCGGGATCTTGGGCACGCACGCACATGCGCCCGGCGTGAGTTTAAGCCACCGGGTCTGGGACTCGAACCACGGTCGGCTACACGGGAGTTCAGCGACATAGCCATTATGCTAACTGGTCCCCATGTCATTTATTTTTAATGCCATCCAGGGCTTGAGTGACCAAGAGAAACAAAGAGCTTCACCAGATGGTAGATACACTTGGGATGTGCCTGGTCTGTCAGCCCTCAGGGGCACAGGAAGCTCTGGAAGTTCTCCTGAGGGTGGTCATTGGCGGTTTCTGTTTCAGCCCCTTCTCCAGGGAGGATCTCCTCCTCAGACGTGGCTCTTGCTGTGACCCTACCTATCCTGATATTTCTCATCATCGTGGGCATTTATTTCATCTGGAAGCAAAGAAAATCTAAAGGTAAGGCAGTGGTAAGGGAGCCCAGGCTGACAGGAAGTGGGACTACGACTGCACTCTGCAGAAGCCAGAGGAAGTGCATGTAGACCTGATCTTGTCCATAGGCTGGACACCTGGCAAGTTTTCGGGGGAAAAAAGAAAACTGGCAGAACTATGTCCTGGGAACTCAAATTGCAGAGGGAATTAAATAAACTGTAGAAAGGCCCCTGGGCAAATCTATGAATTCTCATCCTTCGAGAAATTAGAGAATAACCAACCGTGCCAAACTTCCAATTAACTAAGAAATTAATTAGAGCTTTTTAATCAAGAAATCCAATTATATCCATTGGATAAAACCTTCATTAAAAAGGTCACATTTCACAGGATATCAGGGTTGCAAAGGACTTTGACAGTTGCATAATACAGCACTCCCCCCTTGGCTGATGTTTAGAAGTCTCTAATCCTTTCAAGAGGTCACACATTCTCAATGACAAGGTGTCAGTCCTACTTGGGTGTCCAAGCCATGTTTGGACGACTATGTCTGTTAGAAATAGCTCTTCTTATGGGGCCGGCCCCACAGCACAGGGTAATATGCTCTCTAGAGAGAAGCCAGATCCCACATGGTCACTGTGAATTCCTGGCCCTGTCAGCTTGAAACATGTAGTGTGAGTGTGGGAGTGCCCAGGATCTGGTGGACTGGCGTGCTGGAGGAAGGGGATTGTGGCATGACTGGACTTTGGAGGATGCTTTTCTTTGTACCTCTCACTCATCTATGTGTGAGAATTAAAAAAAAAAAAAAGATTTAAAAAATAATCCTTCCTTTAAAAGAAAGAAGCAAAACATTTAGGGGACACAAAAATGGAAAATGCTCTGTTGATACTCTCCGTAGAGAGTATCTGTCACTAGACTAGTACACAGTGTATTCGTGCTGGGAAGATTGATTGTGCAAGCTGTCATGATATGCAGTGATCGAATGCATAACAACCAGTCCTTTCTAAAGCTGAGCTGATCTCTCTCTCTTCTAGAGAAGCTTCTCTATGAGCAGGTGATGGAGGTAGGTAAGTGTCTTGGCCTCGCATTTTGGAGATGATGGTTTCACTAATTTCCGTAGTCCCAGCATGCAGGGGATACATGTTAAGTGAATTCTGTTAGACTACTCCATCATTAGCTGTCCTTGGTGGTGGTGGTGGGAGGGATGATGCTTTCAGTTTTTACTCTTATTTATAATAGTGTATGGTGATTTTTGTCTGTGAGCTCATCATTGCTTCGGGTGGGAATCCTGTAAGTTGAACGTGGTTGGGGGGTGGCTTTTATTCACTCAACAAAAAATGGTAATTGAGGACTAGCAGGTGGTGTGGTAGTTAAGGGGGCTGGGCTCCCACATGGCCAACCATGGTTTGAGTCCCGGACCCGGTGGCTTCCTTTCTCATTTTCTCTTTCTCTCTCTCGCTCTTGCTTTTGCTCTCTCTTGCTCTGTCTCCTTCTGGTCAAATTTAAATAAATAAAGTTAAATAAAAAATAAAAATAAAAATAACTTTAAAAATTTATAATTGTCTACTAAATGCCTAGATTGTGCTAAGTTCTAGGGATACAATGGTGAGTAAAAGCACATCTTTGCTCACCTGAACCTTTCAGTCTAGTCAGGGAGGTAACATGAGTAAGATAATTATGTAAATAAATGAAAGTTGCCATTCTGTGAAGACTGTGACTGAGAGGAACCGGCCCAACTTGAGGATCCAGGATGTAAAGTTAGATGTGAAGGACCAGAAGTCATGAATGAAGAGGGAATGGAACATCATCCACAGCAGAAGGAACAGTTTGAGAAAGAAACACGGGCAGGGGAGAGCAGCATTTACTGGGAAGCTGAAAAGGTGCAGAGTGAGGGGAAAGGTGATAGGGCTGAGGTGGAGTACTCAGGCCATGGGTAGGCCATGTGAGGCCTTGCAGATCATGTTAAGGATTTCAGTCTTTCTCCTAAGAGCAGGGGTAAAGCAATGCATAAGGATATCTCAATCAGAATTGTGCTTTGAGGGACTAGTCGATGGTATAAATGATTATATCACCAATTTCCCATGTAGCTGACTGAGGTTTGTGTTCTGGACCCGGTGGCTTGAAATTCACACCTGGCATGTGTGCGTGCATGCCCCAAATCCCGAAATAAGAGTGGAGGAGAAGGGATTGTGGCATGGCCATCCCCCGGAGGGTGATTTCTTGCTTTCTGTATCTCTGTTTCTCTTTGTCTCTCTGGCGAGAGCATGCACCCTATAGCAAAAATCTCTAAAAAAAGAAAAGAATTGTGCTTTGAGGACCAGCAGATGGCATGGTGGTTAAGGTTCTGGACACTCCCACATGCCCAACCACGGTTTGAGTTCTGGACCTGGTAGCTTGCTTTCTCATTTTCCCTCTCTCTTTCTGTGTCTGTCTCTGGTCAAATTAAAATAAATGAATAAATAAAATTAAATAAATAATTATTTTTTAAAAAAAGGAATTGTGCTTTGAAAAGCTCTGTAGTGTTGAGAAGATACCCAAGGGAATAAAACAGGATGGAGAATGGGAACAATCCGGTTGTCCCTTCTGTCATCCAGATGAGAAATGAAAGGTCCTGGAGGTGGACAGTGTCAAGAGTGGGTAAAATCAGTTGACATCAGAGAGTCCCAAAGTAGTGTCAGACTCTCATTTTCTTTTTCTTTCCTTCTTTTAGAAAATCTTCTCTCAGACCATGCCAAAGAAAAAGGTAATTATATGTAAAGAGTAAGAGGAAAAGAGCAAATAACATATTCTTTTCCCTTCTACATAAGTGTTGACTGTCTATTATAATACATTATATAAGAGGTCTTCAGTAAGTTCATGAAATATGTATATTATGAAAAAGGGGCACAATGTCATTTTTTTTGCACCAAAATAAATTCATACTTAAATTGGACTTTTCCAGGAACTTAGTTTCCTATGTCAGAAGGCTACGGAGTTGGTGGCAGGGAATGAGGGAATGCCAGTACTGGAGATTTGTAGGCCTGGTTTATCATGAGCTCCCTTTATTAGGCTTCCCACCAATCATTGAAAAAGGAAGTTCATATGGGGCCAGCAGGTGGTGTGGAGGTTAAGGCAGCTGTATCCCACATGATTGACTCTATAGTTCAAGCCCCAGACCCAGTGGTTTGATAAACATGCTAGACATATATGCATGCGTGCCCAAAATCCCAAAAGGAGAATGAAAGAGAAGGGATTGTGACATGGCCATCCCTCCTTGGGGATGATTTCTCACTTTCCCTCGCTTTCTCATTCTGTCTCTCTCGGATGAGTGCATGCACCCTGTAGCAAAACAAACAAACAAACAAAAAAGGAAGTCCACATGCTATTTAAAGGTACATTGATGTGATTATCTGAAAATCCATACCACCTTTGCACCAGGAGGTGGTGTGTTACAATGGAAGGGTCACAATGGACATAATGAGTCCCCTTCCCTGATTATTTTCAGTATTAAAAGAGTCAAGCTTTTAAAAAGTCTATCACAGGTCTAGCCCCATAGCCTAGTGGTTAAAAGGAACCAGATCCCACAGGGCTGACCACGTGGTTCAAGTTCTGAACCCTTCAGAACTTCAAAAACATGCTGGACATGCATGTTCAAAATCTTGACAGGATGAAGAAATGGAGGGGATGGCATTGTGGTATGATCACACTCCATTATGGGGGTTGCTTTCTCCCTGTCTCTCTTTGCTGATCACACATACCCTCTGGCAAATTAAAAAAAGGAAAATCTTTCACAGTGCCTAAAATCCCTTATTGCCATTTTGTCTTCACTAGTTGAATGTTTGCTGTGGCCCACTGAGGGTGAAAGACACCCATTTGAAGGTGTCTTCTAGCTGGGAAGACAAGCCAGTGGCTCAGATGGCTGCAAATTCAATGATTTCGGCATCTCCTTTCTCCCCCTACATCTTCTCCAAGCTGATGCAAGTGTGGAATGCACACCCCTTAGCTCTTCTGACCAAGAGTGGAAGAGAGCAGTGTGGTACACCAGGGAGAGCCTCTGACACAGGAGTCAGATGGATTTGGGTTTGAATCCTACCTGTGGGCTACGTCCTAGCTGGATGACGTTGGGAAAACTTCATTCCCTCTGTAAAATGGGAATAATCATTCCATGCACCTCATGTTGCCGAGAGGATTCAGTGCCCACTGCAGTGCAAGAACGATACATGAGGAATGGAAGCTCTTTGTAGTGGAAATGGTAACCATAAGCCAGAAGCTTTTAAGAGCTGTGTTGCTTTCAGCTTCAGTGCTCCAGTGTTCAATGCCTAATACGTGCCCAGCCCTCAGTGTGGGGCCTGGTGGTAGACCCAGATGCATAACTTCAATTCTCTGGCAGATCAAGACTAGGTAGCCATAAATACTCCCCTGAAGCATAGGAGGCATATACCTGTGTCCCTAGATATCAGAACAGTTGTGAGATAGGTCGATGCAGGAGAATTACTGTAGAGAATATTGAAGCCAGGTGAACAAGTCAATGCTAGGCCTTGAGCTAGTCATGCACCTTAGACAGCATCAACTGTAGGCTACAAAAGAGCAGGAAGGCATACACTTGTGCAACGCAGTCACACATATGGAAACTCGGCAGACAGCGGAAATGAAACCAGACAGACAAAAAGGAAGGGAAAAGGAAACAGGAACCAAAGTCCCAGGCTGGCTAGGTCATCAGGAGGGTGACCCTAGCACCTTTGCATGCTGGAGTCTGACTTCTGGGACAAGAGACCAGACTAGGGATTGACAGAAACATCCTCCTCCTTTCTACTGGTGATGGGTCTGGGGGTGGAGGGCCAAGTCTTTCAGGGTCCCAGGGATAAAGAGGCAGGATCTGATCACTCACTTCTCTCTCTCTCTGGTTTCTAGGAAGACTGCATAAAGCCCTCAGTAAGTTCTGCTCCTCCTTTGTCCTCCAAGTGCTGCTCCTCCTTTGTGCACCAGCTTCTTCCTGCTGACGTCATTGCTTTAAGACAAGCATCAGTTTCACTTCCTGGGGTAGAAGGGAGTCAAGGGTGATTTATGCCATGCGGTTTGGGGATTTCTTGGCTCCCAATGGCCTCTTTACCCAAGTATCCCCTGCTCCTTTTTTCTGTATGATTGTTATTTAGTCTCTAAATGGAAAATGTTTTACTAACAAGAGATATACCTCCCATGGATGAAGCCATCTGCCAGTCTCTTTTATCACACATGCATGACATTCCCTTAGGTGGGGCTTAGAGTAAGTGGATCCTCATTAAACTGAATGTGGTGAACGAGTTCTTCTCTACCATTTCATGTATGCAAACTTCTTTTTAACATTAAAAAAAATATGAGCTGGCCTTATGGCCTAGTGGGTAAAGGAGCTGGAACCCACACAGCTGACTGTGCAGTTTGAGTCTCAGTCCCAGCAGCTTGGAAACACACTGGGCACAGGTCGTGTGTGCCCCAAATCCTGACAGGATGGAGACGTAGAGGAGAAGGGATTGCTGCATTCTTTTTCCCTCTCCCTCTCTTTCCAACTCTGTGGTGAGCACATATACTCTCCAACAACTAAAAAACTTTGAAAGTCTCTGCACATATGTGACATATTTGTTATATTTTCCTTTGAGAAAATATACATGCTAACAAAATCTAATGGAGATTCAGTGATAGTTTTCAGTGAGCTTATATCTTATTCTTCTCCCACAGTATCTACATTTATTTATGTTGTCATTATCTGTAGTTATGAGGTGTATTATTATTCAGTCTGCAGGGAAGGTTTGGCTCACATGAGAAATTGCTGGTCCTCTGCAGTATATCTGGGGACCCATGGCCCATAGCTGGGAGCCTTCGCCATTGCAAACACACCTATGGCTAAGTTGCAGGGTATGGCTGTTGAGAATCTTCTCTAGGAATGTGGTTGGGATGGAACTTTAGCATTATGGGAATGTAAAAGCCTGATTCTGATTTATCAAACCATTTTTATTCTTCAGAGAAACTCCGGAGTGAATTGAGTAAGTTTCTCCTATTCTTATACCTTCCTTACCAACTTATGCCCTGTTGTGCCAACATGCCCAGTGATGACTCATCCTTGTCTCTTTCAGAGTTAAAAAAAGCTGCAGCAAACTCGGGTGAGTTGCATTTTCCCTGTTAACCCCTACCTTTGGGAGTTTTCAGTTTCTCCATTGCTTTAATAATCCTTTCATGTCTTTCAGGCTGGAGAAGAGCTCGGCTACACTTTGGTAAGTTACACCAACCAAATACATCCACATTTCTGAGCTCCTCCTTGAGGCTTGGTACTTGGGGACTTGGCTCCATTCCTCTGGCTTGCAGACTATAATTTAAACATTTTTATCAAATTTCTTTCTTTTTCTTATTTTTAAGAGAGATTTTTGCTACATGGTGTGTACATTCACTGAAGATACAGAGAGACAGAAAGCAAGAAATTACCCCCGCTAGGGGGATTGCCACACCACAATCCCTTCTTTTCCAGTCTCCTCTGGGGTTTTGGACACACACACACACACACACCCCTGGTGTGAGTTTTAAGCCACCAGGTCCAGGACTTGAACCATGGTCAGCCATGTGGGAGTCCAGTGACATAACCATTATGCCATCTACTGGTCTTGATTTTTATCAAATTTCTTTATCTCTCTCTCTTTTTTTTTGGTTGCACTGGTAAATAGTAGGTTTGATCTATGGGTTTTTTTTATGATTTTTGAGATTTTTCTAAAGCCTACCAGTTATCTGTATTTCTTCATTGTATTGGTTATCTATATTTCTTCCTTATATCAATTATCTGTAGTTCTTTGTATCAGTTATCTGTATTTCTTTGTATTTGTTACAAGCATTTCTGCTTTGTGACTTATCTGTTCTTGTCCTATTTGGGCAACTTTTTGATTTGTAAGAATTCTTTCTATGGTATATTAACTCTTCATCGCAAAGCTTTTTATTTGCATTTTAATTTCTTTACAGTACTTTTGGTGCATGAATGTCTTGTTTTTAGGTAGTCAAATTCTTAATCTTTTTTTTTTTGGGGGGGGGGTAGAGATTTTCACTATAGGGCGCGTGCGCTCGCCAGACAGACAGAGAGAGACATAGAGACAGAAAGCGAGAAATCACCCCCCAGGGGGGATGGTCACGCCGCAATCCCTTCTCCTCCATTCTCTTCTCGGGATCTTGGGCATGCACGCACATGCGCCCTGCGTGAGTTTTAAGCCACCGAGTCCCGTGGTCGACTACGTGGGAGTCCAGCGACATAGCCATTACGCTAACTGCTGGTTCCCAAATTCTTAATCTTTGGTTGTGTAGTCTCTTTGTGATTTCTGGTTTGAAAAGTCCTAACTGTTCCACAGTTGGATAAATAGCAACTGCTTCTGCCTCTTTCTATTCAAATGTCACAATTCTTTTCTCTTTGGATAATTTTCCTGGGAGTTGGGGATTGAGAGTCTCAGAGAAGAAGGAATGGTTTGAGTAGATGCCCCAATGATATAGACTACAAAAAGATTTCATAATTTTATTCTTTTTTTTTATAGACCACAGATTAGTTTATTTTTAACACCCATCATGCCATGAATTCATAGGGAATATGTTCCAGTAGCTCAGGCTCCTTTTCCATTGGTTCTCACAAAGTGTGCTTCTCTGGGTAGAGCAGGCTGGCGCTTTAGTTGAACCCAGGTACCTTTCTCTTTGGCTTCCTTCTTTTTCTGGTCATTTTCCTTCACACGTTTTAGGAAGCTATCGCTGCTCTTAGAATGCTTAATATGCTCAATAAGCACATTGATTCTCTTGGCAAGAATCTTGCCCTTAACTTGTTTGTTCACAACAATGCCAACAGCATGCTGGGTAACATTGTAGACTCTTCCAGTTTTGCCTGGTAACATTTGTGGGGCATTCCTTTTGAACAGTAACCATTCCCTTAATGTCTACAATATCACCTTTCTTGTAGATAAGCATATATGTTGCCAAAGGAACCACTCCACATTTTGTAAAAGACATAGAGAACATATATCGGGTGCCTCTCCCCTTTCCCTTTGTGTTCCTCATTTTGGTTAATTACTGGAAGATGGCGGTTCCGGCCCCAAAAAAGCATACTTTTATTCAGAACGATTTGCATGCTTCTCAGCTTCTTCCTAAATAGTTTGTGTTTTCTCATGCTGTTAGAATGAGATCTGTTGTTTTCACTACTCTAGGTTCTTATCAGTTTCCCAGACTCTTTGTCCCTTTCATCCCCACACCCCACCCCACCCAGTTCACACTATTTTCCTTTAGGCAGAGTGCAACAGAATCCATGAGCTAGCCTGGCATGCTCCCATTATCTCACCAGGGTAGGGGTTTTATGGATTTACCCCTCCACATGAGCCTGTTTTCTGTATGTGGTTGAGGAAGGAGACTCACTGCAACCTTCATAATGTATAGCTTTAAGGAAGAGTCCTCTCTCTATTAACGCTAAAAAACTCGAATAATAAGCAGTAACTCTGGGTAACAAAATGAGCATCACACACTTACTGTAGGAACAAGGCACTGTCTCATGCTTTAGCTGATCCTCTGCACAGCGGCTCTACAACTTAGATTCTACTATATTTCTGTTTTACAGATGGGGAAACTAAGGTTTAGGGGTGAATAATAAGCCTAAGATCACGTAACTAGAATGCAACAGAGCTGGGACTCAAACATCCACACCACCTGCCGGCCCTGAGACCTATTCTTTGAAGACAGTATTTTTTAGCTCCAGAATGTATATGGGAAGATCCATGAATTAAAATGGATCAATGTCTATGATTGCTAACCTAGAGATTATTTTTTCCTCCAAAGCTACTCAAAGATCCCTTGAGACCTGACCTTCTCACACCTTATCTCTCTGTCTCTCTCCAGTGGCGGTGACTCTGGACCCAGACACAGCACACCCCAAGCTCGTCCTGTCTGAGGACCGCAGGTGTGTGCGACTTGGAGACAGAAAGCAGCCCGTGCCTGACAACCCTCAGAGATTTGATTTTGTCGTCAGTGTCCTGGGGTCTGAGTATTTCACGGCTGGCTGTCACTACTGGGAGGTGTTCGTGGGAGACAAGACCAAATGGATCCTTGGGGTGTGTAGTGAGTCGGTGAGCAGGAAGGGCAAGGTCACCGCCTCACCTGCCAATGGACACTGGCTTGTGCGACAGAGTCGTGGGAATGAGTACGAAGCTCTCACGTCCCCACAGACCTCCTTCCGCCTGAAAGAGCCCCCGCGGTGTGTGGGGATTTTCCTGGACTATGAAGCAGGAGTCATCTCTTTCTACAACGTGACAGACGGGTCCCACATCTTCACTTTCACCCATACTTTCTCTGGCCCCCTTCGCCCTTTCTTTGAACCTTGTCTTCACGATGGAGGGAAGAACACGGCACCTCTTGTCATTTGTTCAGAACTACAGAAATCAGAGGAGTCACTGGTCTCCAAGCCAAAAGGCAAAGGCCATGCGAATGGAGATGTGTCTCTGAAGGTAAACCCTTCCCTCCTGCCTCCCCAGGACCCAGAGCTCGGGGATATGATCCTGTCCTGGCCCTCCGACCTCGGCCCTGCCCTGCAGGGGCTCAAGGTTCCTTCGTTTTAGGAGTGTGTCTCATCGCCAGCTCCCATGACCATCTGGCACCTTGGTGCCAGTCTCTGGGCCCAGCACATGATTGTGGAACATCTCATTCCTTTACCCCAAATCCAGACCCTTTCATGGTTTCCATTTGTACTTTTCTTCCAGGACTCAGTTCTGAACCTTGCCTTTCTTCTAGTGCTTTAAAAGTCCTATTTCCATGAAAGAAGAGCTTCTGAAACGAACTGAACCCTCAGTTTAAGTTTAGGTGGAGATGTTGTATGTTTGTCACGAAAATATAGCACAGGTTCAGGTTTGGGGAAGGGTTCTGCTGGAGCGAGTATTTTGAACTTTTCTCTACCTCATCCTGCACTTGGGCTTTTAGTCGTGAGGTTATGTCCCCCGGGGCCTGACTTCTAACTTACCCATCAAGGACTGCTTTTCTCTCTTTCTTTCTCTCCTTCTAGCAGTTCAGGCTAGTAGTCCCCAAACTCAGCTGTTTAAAAGTAAGCACATGGGGACCAGCAGATGGTGTAATGTTTATGTTGCTGGAGTCCCACATAGTCAACCATGGTTTGAGTCCTGGACCTGGTGGCTTGAAACTCACATTGGGCACATGTGTATGCGTGCCCAGAATCTGGAAAGGAGACTGCAGGAAAAGGGATTACTATGTGGCCATACCCCTTGGGAGGTATTTCTCTCTTTCTGTCTCTGTCTCTCCGGAGAGCTCATGCACCCTATAGCAAAAATCTCTCCTTAAATAAAAAGTAAGCATGTGTTAGATCACACCACCTTTCTTCTTTCTCAGCCATATGAGAAGAGCAGAGGGTAAAACATGGTTTTCTTTTTCTATTTTCCTGATGCTATCTATAGTATAGTTTGGTGACATCCAGAGCTAATGGACTTTTTTCCTTCTAGCTTTTTCTATAGGGTGCATGCACTCACCAGAGGGAGAGACAGAGAGGGAATGTGAGAAATGACCCCCTATGGGGATGGCCACACCATAATTTCATCTCCTCATTGCTTCTCTGGGGATTTGGGGCATGCACCCATACATGCCCAATGTGATATTCAAACCGTCAGGTCCAGGACTTGAGCGTGGTGGATCATGTGGCAGTCCAGCGCCTTAACCACTATGCCACCTGCTGGCCCCACTAATGGACTTTTTTTTTTTTTAAAGCTAATTTACTTGTTGAAGATAACCAGTGCAGGGCCTTGAACACAGTAACTTGCAATCTTGAAAAGCCTTAGTAGTACAGCCAGGGAGCTGGGAAGCACAGCTGCAAACAGAGCAGCTCAGCTGTGCATGCCTTAAATAGACAGGGGCAGATGAGTCGGTCATTTTGAATACCTTCCTGAGATTCAGAGAGGCTCAGCTAGAAAATGTGGCAGTTTTAACCACCAGTGTGGAGTCTTTTTCCCTACCCCACAATACTAAAAGACTTCTTTATTTGTTAGGTCAGAGAATACTGATTTCAAATAAGATGCTGGTAGACCAGGTATGAGAATAAAACAATGAATTTGATTTTTTGGTGTGTAATCTGGTCTATTTGTGGAGATATTGGCCCTCAGTGTACAGATGGGTAATAGTTCTATCTAATGGAAGCTGGATCTTTCTGTCTGTCATAAATTCTGTCTCTTAGTGCCTTTACTTACTAGTCAGGGTTTTTCAGAGAAACAAAAGTAATAGGATGTGTTAGGCAATCCAATGGTGTGGTGGTTAAAGTGGCTGGATCCCACCCAGCTGACTGTGCAGTTGGAATCCCCGGCCCAGCAACTTGAAAAACATGCCCGGTGCGTGTGCATTCATGCCCCAAATCTCGAGAGAAGAATGGGGAAGGAATTGTGGTATGTCCATATTATTCTCTTATTCTCTCCAGCAAGTGCACATGCCTTATAGCAGTACATACATCTATGAAATAAATAAAAAGTAATAGGATGTATATATAAAGAGAGAGTGGAAAGGAGATGTAGTTATAAGGAATTGGCGTGTGTGATTGTGGAGGCTGACTAATCCCAAATCTGTGTGTTGAGTCAGAAAACTGGAAGCCCAGGAGGGCAGATGGTGTAGTTCAGCTTACGGCAGGAGACCTGAGAACCAGGAGGACCCGAAGTATAGTTCCAGTCCCAGGGCCAGCAAGCAGGAAGAATTCTTAGTCAGGGGAGGGTCAGCCTTTTGGTCTATTCGAACCTTTAATAATTGAATGAACCCCACCCACATTAGGGAGGGCAATCTGCTTTACTCAATCTACTGACTTAAATGTTAATTTCACACAAAAACACTCTCTCAGAAATACTCAGAATAATGTGTCACCAAATATCTGGGTACCATGTGGCCCAGTCAAGTTGTCACATACAGTAAACCATCACAGTGCTTGATTGGAATCTTTTGTTTGCTTTTGTACAATTCTTAAATAAAAGTTTGGTATTTTTTGTTTGGTATGGTGTTATTTTCATCATGAATGAAAAGTTGTGGAAAAAGAGTTTGGTCTGGAGAGAAAAACATATTATAGAATTGGTTTCCATGAAGCCTGGAGTCTAACCAAGCCAGCTTTCACCTGTTCTCATAGTAAAGCCACAGTTTCTTTCCTGAATCTGTTGTCAGTATTTTACGTTTTTTTTTTTTCCAATTTATAAACAAATAGTGTGCATATGTAATTATATTTCATCTGCCCATGTTTAGCTTCAAACAGATGAAGGTGCTTAAAAGTTTGTGCAACATTACAATTAAAGTATGGGTTTATTTTGGTGCAAAAAAGATGAAATCCATGCAATTTTTTTCTTCATAATATAAATTTCCCATGAACTTTCTTTTTATTAAAGAATTATTCATTTAATTTTATTTGTCATCTTTAAAAAAAAAAAAAAACTTGAAATAGGCCTGGCTTTTATGCTCACCAGAGAAAGACAGAGAGAGAGAGGGAAAGTGAGAAAGCAAGCCTCGGGAACCAGCAGTTAGTGTAATGGCTATGTCGCTGGATTCCCACGTAGTCGACCGCGGTTCGTGTCCCGGACCCGGTGGCTTAAAACTCACGCCGGGCGTGTGTGCGTGCGTGCCCAAGATCCCGAGAGGAGAATGGAGGAGAAGGGATTGCGGCGTGACCATCCCCCCTGGGGGGTGATTTCTCGCTTTCT